CGATGGACACTGGGGTTGTAAAGTTTGAAGGGCAAAGGTGGGTTGTACAGCGTATTATGGGGTCTGGAGATGTTGGATTAACTTGATAGCTATTGGGCCGACCGACGGTTCTGAAGCCGTAGCCGTGATTCCAAGGCAAGGCAAAGACAAGACGAACAGTGGACCAGCAGTTGGCGATGCTCATGGCAACGGCAATGGCAGCCTCGGGACCGAAGATGCAGCGATCAGACGAGAGTGAGGATTGATGATTCTAATGGAGCGTTGGTCTCGTCGGTCCCTGCCAAAGTGCCCGGCGACATTGTGACTGAAGCAGCTTGACCAGAGGCAAGGGCAGCAGACCAGCATCAATACAAGTCATCAAGTATTGACATATGTAAGCTGAGAGAGCGCCGGAGGGAGAGAGAGCCCTGATGGTCAACGGGGCGGTCAACTGGATCATTTGGGCAGCCCGAATCACGAATCACGAATCACAAACCAGTGACGACTTTATCGACATTTGACTCCTTCATCCGCGCTGCCTCGACAACTCGAAAGCCCCCTGCTGTGCATACCCGTCCGGCTTTGCAACGGCACGCATTGGATTCGACTTCCATCTTTGCGTACGGAGTGCTATCTCCCTCTCCTTTTTCTCCCCCAGCTCTCCTCCCATTCTCCCATTCTCCCATTCTCGCATCGCCACCGTCGAATCTCGCATCGCACCGAACCGCACTTGCGCTGTCAAGTGAAACGCGGTCTGACCTTGTTTCTCCTATCATTACCACTCTCCGTTCAGCTTTCTTTGCTCCTCCACTTCCCTGCCCTGGTCCACCAGTCCGTCCACCAGTCGTCCAGTGTTCGCGGTCCACTCTGCCCAAGTCTTCCCTTCCCACCAGTCCAGCAGGCTCGAGGCTCCCGAGTCTCTGCCTGCCTCAGCCGAATACCCAACCGTTGCGCTGCACATGTCACGTCTTCCAAACAAGGCCTCCGCCCTGCAGCGCAGTACATGATCCGGCTCATCGAGCCCATCGCCTTTCATTCCCTTCCTTTCCACCGCCGGTGCTGCGAGTCGCCCGGCGCTGTGCCATCGAAACGTCGCCATGTTTTGGAGATTCGGCGGTTACGCCAACATCTCCACAATTGACACGATCCTTGACAAGCCCGACTTTACCCTCGAGGAGCTGCTCGACGAGAGTGATCTCATCCAGGAGCTCAAGCAGCACAACTCCAAGCTCATCGAATATCTCCGCGAGGACAGCATCCTCGAGAAGCTGCTGGAATATGTCGTCGCGCCCAGGCTCGAAGTCTTCGCAACCCCCGATGACCCCGCTGACGATGAGTCCAAGGGCAAAAGTCGCCTGCTGCCCTTCTCGCGGCCCCGAGCTTCGTCCCGCGCAACCGACGTGACGGACAACGATGAGGAGGAGCAGGAAAAGAGGCGCAATAGATACGCCCTCGTTGCTTCTGAAGTCCTGAGCTCCGACACGTGGTCCATTTACGAGGCCCTTACCGAGAACCGAGACCTGATTCGCAAATTTTGGAAGTTCCTTGAGCGCCCTGCCCCTCTCGATCCGCTCCAGGCGAGCTATTTCACAAAGGTGAACGAGTCCCTGTTTGAGAAGAAGACAGACGACATGATGGAGTTATTGCGGAGTATCCCAAACGTAGTCGCCGAGCTTCTCAGACATGTCGAATGTCCCATGATTATGGATTTGCTTCTCAAGATAATCGCCCTGGATCGGAATGAAGGAGGACAAGGAATCGTGGAGGTTCGTCAAAGCCCATCTTGCTCATTCTGAATTCCAACCCCCCCCTGCTGACCTACGACGCTTGCCGTACAACAGTGGCTTTTCTCAAAAGATATCATTCCCGCGCTACTCTCTTGCCTCAACCCAAAGCACAGCTGGGTTGTGCAGACGGCCGCTGGCGACTTTATCAAGGCCATCATTACCATCTCTGCGAATGCCTCACAAAACGAACAGCAATGCATCGGCCCCAACGAGCTCACGCGCCAGTTGGTATCTGAACCTTGTGTCGAGCAGCTGATCGGCTATATGCTCGGAGGCGGCAACCCCCTCACAGTCGGTGTCGGAATAGTCATCGAGGTCATCAGAAAGAACAACTCGGACTATGACCCTGATATGGGCACCGAGTCCAACCAAGTTCCCTCTAGTCGGGACCCCATTTATCTTGGTTACCTGCTGCGTCTTTTTGCCCGGAATGTACCCAAGTTCATGAGCCTCATTATGGATGGGCCCGCAAAGAAGGAGGGATCCGAGTCCACTTTTGGGGAGAAGCTTGAACCCCTTGGCTTTGACAGATTCAAGACATGCGAACTGATGGCAGAGTTGTTGCATTGCAGTAACATGGGACTGCTCAACGAAGTCGGAGCTCAAGAATTGATCTCAACGCGAGATGCTGTGCGCCAGCGACTAAGGCACGAAGGAAGGTTGGGGCCTCTGCGGGAAGACGACCAGTCTGCTGATGATCTTACCATGCGCATGAGCCACGGCGCCGTTCATGACGAAGGAAGGCGTTTTGAAGTCACAAACGCCGATGATGATGGCTTTGAGGAAGTTGAATCGAGCAAGGAAATGAGCGAGGATACATCCCACGAATTTGTCAAGGCCGAGGACGACATCACTGCTGCCCCGCCCTCGTCATTCATCGATAAGGACGAAGATGATTTTGTGGATGAGCCACTTAGCTCTCCCCGTCTCTCTGTTGGCAGTGACAAGATCAACGAACAACGGTTTGAAGACCCCGACCTCGTTGTGGCGCCACTGTCTCCTTCGAAATCTAAACCGGCCGAGTTGGCCGAATCTGCAAAGTTTGCCAATCCGGACAGCATCCAACGGACAGAATTTGACTCGGCTACGAGGGAAATCGACGAGCATCTCACCTCTACCCAACAGCCTACCGAATCGTCTCTTTCCACCAGCGCTCTCCCAGAACCGACACCCTCTGGTTCCTCCTTGAACCCCAGCGACCTGGGAGATCAGCATCGTGGTCTTTCTCCTCATCCAGAAGATACTCCAGCACCGTTATTCTCTTCAGCCAGTGCCCCGCAGTCGGTTGCTTTAGATCAGACCGCACAGAAGACGGAGATTATTGTTCATCCCCCGGCTGCTTCTCATCCTGTACATGGGATGGAATCTTCAGAACAAATCGCTGATGTGGATGACCCGTCTGCTGCTCTTGGGCAGCAACAACTACCACAAAACATAAACATACCACTAGAACATGTTGTCGGAGACTTCCTCAAGATGCAATTTGTAGAACACCGCGTTGTACCTGCAATTTTGGTACAGCATGCCCTTGCATACATCTACATGTACTTGTTTCTAGCTAAACTAACTTTGACTAGACCTTTTTCTTCTCATACCCCTGGAACAATTTTCTGCACAATGTTGTCTACGATATAGTGCAGCAGGTGTTCAACGGTCCCATGGATCGCGGATATAACCCTACTCTGGCGGTTTCACTGTTTGAAGCAGCAGACATTACAACAGCCATCATTAACGGCCAGCAAGCTAGCGACGAGTCGCAGGCAAAGACAAAAACCCGTATGGGATACATGGGCCACTTGACTCTCATTGCTGAGGAAGTGGTTAAATTTACCGAGAGACACCCACCCGAATTGCTTTCCGAGATGGTCCTGGATAAAGTAATGAGTCAAGAGTGGATCAACTATGTTGAAGGTGCTCTTGCGGAAACGCGTGAGCGAGACAATGCCATTTTGGGCGGGGTCCGGCCTGAAGTTGCTCTTGGCCACCGCGCAAGTATAGGAGGCGGTAATGGTCTAGGCGGTGTTGGACTGTCTGGACTTGGAGGAGCCTCTGCAACTGGTTCAAACGCTTTGGCGGAGGCCGGCCTGAATGGCGGCATCGAAATTAGCGAAGGCAGCAACAATGGCATTGGCCCCTTTGCAATTAGTGCCGGAACCTTGATGTCAGGCTTCGGAAGTAGCAGCGATGAGGAGGATGATGAGGGCGATGTGGAGGAGGAGGATGTTAACTCTGAGGTGAGTGGCGATTCTTTTGATGATCGAAGTACTGGCTCTCCAGAGGTGGCTGCGAATGCCAACACAGATTCTCCGGTCGATGTGATCTCGATATCTGCGGAGCCTTTTGGAGCAATTTCGGGAGATTCCTCTGTGGACATTCGCCCGAGACTTGGTTCACCTGTGAGATTTACTTCGACTCGGGATTATGAAGAAGACGAGATTATGGAAGACGGCTCGCCGCAAGACAAGTGGTCAGGAAACCATTACGACGAACACGGAACAGAACGGTCACTGCCATCATAGGATGTGGCGCTAGACTCCTGTCTAAGAAATCTGGCAAGCGCCAGATTCCACAGCACGGTGGCCGATGCGGCGGGCGCCGACGAGTCAGATCTGTCTGATTGGGAAGAATTCGAAGATGATGATCTCAATGATCTGTTACGGTTACTTGCTGAAGCAGAGATTTGATTTTCATCATACATCGCAGCATGGGTATTCTCATATGAAATAGTTAGGAGGGCATACACGGGTTACAGTGAAACGGCGGATAGGGATGCATTGGGATAAAATATCTGTACGATGGATGGAGGCAGTAGTGCTAAATGTTGCATAATGAAGGGCAAAACACAAAAAAGATTCAAGATACAAAGAGCCAGTGGCCAAGGAAAGACGAGCGCAGACTGGAGAAGTGTTTGTCAGGGAATGGCAGGGGAACATTGTCGTGATGGAAGTCTTGCGGTCACGGCTACCTCTACTCAGTGCAGCCTGCTTCGATTTGGTCTCTTGTTGTTACGGACTATGGGACTCAGTTGCTGATCTCAACCCTCTTTTTTAGTTCCGGTCTTATACAGACCCTCTCAACAACATTGGCAACTCGTTGACTCCGCCATGCATCCCTCCGCCTCCACCGCCGCCTCCGCCGTTGAACGTTCCTCCGTCAAGAGCCAGGCTGCAACTGGCAGCCCGGTTGGCAATGCATCAAAAGAACAACCAAGTGGCGCAGCCATCCTCTGCAACAATGCATCATGAAGGAGACGAATATGACAACAACACGACGGACCCCTTTAGAGATGATAATGATGACATGGACGACGATGATGACCTAGATGTAGACGTTGTTCAAGATGGTGGACGTGGATCCTGGTGGAGAGGCATGGTCGGAAGAAGAAGCAGTGCAGACGATGGTGAATCTGACGAGGCAGACGAGGATGATGATGAATTCGGTGACTTTGCCATGGCGGAAGATGACAAGAGTGGTGGAACTTCGAACAAGGAACAGTTGGTACTGAGACCGCTAGCCGTCAATCCCGCCAAGGAAAGCAGCAGAGGTCTCAGCGGTCTGTGGCCGTTTGGGTCCAGAAGCGAAAGCAACAAAGCCAAACGTGACGAAGAAGGACACGGCCTGAAAGATGAAGTGGTAGTATCTGCAGACGAGAAGAAGGGAGAGGATTATAGAGCCATTGAGGTCAGGGAGGCAACGAGTCGGACTAGCATTGAAGAACCGGATGAGGAAGAAATAGTAGTTGGGAAATGAATCTCTCTGTGGGGCTGAAGGTAGAAGAAGTGGCGGGGTTTTGATATCAAAGGCGGACAGACGAGAGCTTGAATGGGAAGCGTTTGAAGCGCATTTTACGGATGGTGAATGGGTATGATGGGAAATGGCGGCATTACCGTGTAATTGTACGATGGGGGGATTCTATTACTTTTTGTGCTGTTTTGATTTGGTTAGATTCACGGGACTATGTAAACTACCATATGCAATGGGAAATTTGCTTATGCTCTGTGACAGTTGTTGACTGTGCTGCCTGGATGAGATTCATTGGGCTGCCGAGGCGCGCAGACATAAGCGACAGAGGCGACTCTTGGTGGCGCATCGTTGGTCACCGCTAGCCGCCGCTGCCAGACGAGAAATATTTTGGAAAAACGAGATGCTCGGGCATGAACTGCGTGGCGGATACGATGCGGCAGGCAGGCAGGCGGGCAGGCAAGCATGTGGTGGATGAGGCACGGCGTCGTGTATGTAAGATGGGTGTGAGTGACAGGGCGACGGCTCCGGGGCTCCGTCTGCAGGCGCAGCAGGCTGTTTATCCCACGTTGTCGACATTCTTTATCCTCGACGACGGCTACGTTTCCTTGCAACAGGGCAATGAAATATCGCCATACTGGGTGCGACTCGCCTGCCTTGCGACGTCGATGCCCATGTGGTTATCCTGGGATGTACGCTGGGAAAAGAAATGATCAATTGATGCTAATTTTGTCACATAAACGGCAGCTAATAATTAGCCCGCGTTGTATTCCCCCCCGTCCGTTTAGCCCGCTTAGGGTCATGCTAGCTTCTTCAGCATAACGAGTCGAGTGTGATCAAGTGGTGAAACAGACTTTCTTCTCCGAACCCGAGCCAGCCCTGGCCGTTCGTCTTCGCAGGCGACGGACCACGGCATCCAATCTTCGGGAGGATTACTCGGTCGCCAGGAGGGGACTGCCGCGCGGGTGCCGTTGAGGGCTGCAGAGTGTCATGCGTCGGCAGGGATCAGGGTGTTGACTGGCCTGCTTGACGCCCAATTGGGCAAGCATCGAACAGCCTGGCTGGGCCGATCTGTGATTATTTTTGGGTGTCAGCTGGGTGATGAGGCGCATCAGCCAAGGGGACAGGATGGCTGTGCTGAAGCAACCCTCTCCCCCAGGCGTGTTGATGGTGACGGGCCGTTTTCAGGTTTGGGGAAGGACATATGCATGGACTGCGGCTTTGCTGTGCCTGCAGATACTCTATTGTAGGCGCGGCTTTTCTAATTTGCCCATGGTCGCCCAGGTCCAAATTGGGTGAAGGCTTGTCTTTCAGCTCATTTGCACATAGTACATATCTATGATGTATGCATGTATGTATGTGTGCTGGAAAGGCCAAGGGCCTGGGGCTGATGATGCCAGTCGGGCCAAATTCGACGACGCATTACGGAGTAATATCAACGGTAATACGGATACTAGTACAACACTACAACGCCCAGAGCTGGTGGAGTCGATTCTCACAGTGCCGCCTCTTTTATTGTACTTTGCATATTTTAAGCGCGGTTTGGCTTTCGTGTCTACTGACCAGAAAAACCAAGTCTCGCAATGGCTTCTCTGGAGTCTGTACAAAGCCCCCCTCTGAGTTACATGTACCACCAGTATGACGCCTAGACTTCTCCAATGCCAAATCGGCCTCTTGAATCATGATATGCACAGGCAGCAAAGTTGACGCTTGTCGTCTGGTAGACATTGACACATGTGAATCTTCAAGACCATAAACGTAGCACGCATGGAAACTTTGGCCATCTGAGATTTCCCGAGTTGAGCGGTAGATGCATCGGCAGATTAACGCTAGGACTGCTGCAAAGATGCTGCAGAGCCAACATAACCAACATGCATTTTACACGAGGCCGGCCGAATTGGCCATTCTAGAACGTTCTTGTGAGCGCATCGTAGCACCGCGTCGGTGGTAGTGCCAGTAAATGGTGCAACGGGCCCAAGAGTCGGGTATGCATGAGACTTATCCATCTATTGGGCGAGTTCTAAATAATTCTTATTTATAAAACAAAACCTATCTTGGTTGAGACGGGTGGATGTTGCGGTACCCAGTGCGGTAAACCGGGGATTCGCACTCGGGACAAAGACGTCACAGGACTCTGGAGTACTACGGAGTAGTTGGTAACTTGGTTGAAGAGCCAGTTCGGGAGACGCCGTTCTCAATACACAAACAACATGAGTTGCAAGCTTGTTAGTCGCCAGGGAGCCGGACTCCAATCCCCGAGTCTTACGCACCAACAGACGGCGCCTCTCGGCCGGCCGGGGTGTCATGTTAGTCTTGTCTCGGGTGTCTGCCACAGCAACATGCAAAGCATGGGCAGCCCGAGGGCCAGGCGAGGAGGCGATATTGACTATTATACCCATGGTCCGTGAGGCGACGGTGGTTTCTTTCTCTCTCTTTCTTTTTAATCCTGGGAGAGGCCGCTTCTCCATCTCTTTGTCCCCCAAGACGGTGCGCACGTCTTCTGCTGGGTTGTTTGCGTCCAAGCCGAGCACATCTCTTATCGAGAGCCTCAACCGGAACGGTTTTACAGACCATCGTACGCTCTGACAAGAGCAGGCAAACAAAAGAAGCCCTCGCACATATTCCATGTACGAGCGGTAGTACGGACGGCCCTGCCCGGTCTGTGCCTGCGCCCGGTGCCTTGGTGTGCGTCCTGTCCGGCTCCAACTGGTCTGCGTCGTCTGACGGCACAGTCTGCCCACAGCCGCAATGGCAATGGACGGCTGCCGTCACGCTCACCGTCGACATGGACGAGCATCGCCCATGGACGAGGCCATGCTGGTTCAACCTCTGCTGACCCAGACCCGGCATCGACCTCGCAGCGCAGTCATCACGGCTGCCACCACCATCAACTCCACGTCAGCACAGGATATCGCCATTTCCAATGTTTCACCGCTCTCACGGCGCCAGTCGCTCGTCTCTGATTTATTCGACGACTTGAGCACAGCCCACCGCGAGCTGGAGGGCTATCTGAACCGCACCTCGTGTCGTCTGGCTGATGCGGTGGGGGAGACGCGGCGACGGACAAGTCTCGTGCAAAACAAAGACGACTCCCGGTTCCATCTCGACTTCAACCTCGACCTCGACCTCGACCTCGACCTCGACCTCGACTCACAATACGCCAACGACAACGACGGCCACTCCTTCACAACTCCAGTCTCCCCCGTGTCCCTTGTGTCTCCCGTGTCTCCCGTGTCTCCCCTCGGCAGCAGCTACTATTCCGCCTCCAAGCCATCGTCGCCGCAGTCGCAAGTCAGCAGCTATGAGGAGGACATGTTTGCAGCTATAGACGTCAACGCCGCAGCCGCCGTCATGGCCACCGAACTCAAAGCAACCAGGATCACGCCTGGAGTGCCCAACAAGCCGCCCTCATCATCGTCGTCACGGTCATCGCCGTCGCCATTGTCACAGCTGCAGTCACAGTCGCAGTCACCACCAGCTTGCCCATCTCCAGTCGCTGGCTCCAGCAACACCAACACCAACACCACCACCACTACTACTACCACCACCGCCGCCGCTGCCGCCAGCTCTAGGCCGACGCCAAACAATAGCAACAATGGTGGCGCCCAGCAGCAGCAGCAACAACAACAACACCAGCTCGAAAACCTATTATTGTCCACCACCAGAGTGGGCAAGGTGTGCCTGGTGCGTCCCCGCGCGGGGCCGTTTGAGGGTCAATACGTCGCCTTGATCACCACCACGGCCGTGCATGCCCCGAACAATGAACTCATCGCCTTGATTCCCGAGGCTGAACGCGAAACTGCGCAGAGGCAAATCCACACCCTGAAAACAGCAGTCGCCGAATGGGGTTCTGACTCCCGCCGCCCCGATGTGTGGATTCTGCTGCAGTCAATGGCCGTGAATGGCGACGGTGAGCCCGATGCCAGGAAATTACAGACGTGGGTGCAGAATATTGGCGAAGAGGCTGAGGAGAGAATTATGGCTACGCAATTCATCAACCACCGGAGGGGTGCACAACAACATCGCCGGCAAGGGATCGAGCCTCCCGTCTCACAACCGCCACAACTACCGCAACGTCACCCCAACCACCATCATCGTCATCAGCATTATCCTATGCGCCCTGATTCTTTTGTGAGACCTCATCTCGAGACTGGTTACGGTAACAATGGCCCCATACAGCAACCCCAACCTGACAGTCCTACCCAGGACCCAGGACAAGAGGTCTACTTCCCCCTGGCTGTTATGCAGCAGCTCTTCTTTAGGTCATCGGTGAAGCGAAGCGTGGAAGCATCTGTCATCACTGGCCCGAAATACCGCTTCAGCCAGAGCATACTTTTGAATGTCAAGGGCGATGTGGCCTTGGCAGATATCGAAGCCGCCGTCAGCGTTTTGGTATCAAGACACTCCATGCTAAGGGCTCGATTCCGACTGACCAGCCAGGGCTGGGCACAAGTCATCGCCCCCGAGTCGAACCGTGCTTACAGATTTGAGCACAGGTACATCAACGACGACGACGATTTACTGAGCGTTATTGATCAGGCCCAGCAATCATTGAATGTCTTCAATGGCCCCGTCTTTACGGTCAAGCATATTAGAAATACGGAGCATAAGCAGCTGCTGTATCTTGCCGCTCACCACTTAGTTGTCGACTTGGTCTCGTGGAAGATCTTGCTCCATGACTTGGATGAATTGCTTCGAGAGGGGACACTTGTCTCCGAGCCCTCAATACCATTTACATACTGGACAGACTATCAGAGCTACGAAAATAGCCAGCGATTAATTGAACCAAACCTGCCGTTCGAAATTGTTCCCGCAAACCTGAGATATTGGGGTTTGGAGGGCCACTCCAACCTGTACGGAGACACTACGCACCTGAACTTTGCCTTGCCGCGGGATGCGGCATCTGCTTTGAGAAAAACGTGCAACAATGTCTTCCGGACCGAGTCTGCAGACGTCTTCATCGCTGCATTGCTGTATTCCTTCCATCAGACATTCTCTGACCGCTCCAT